ATTGAGAGACAGGGTCTCGCTGAGTGGCTCAGGGCCTCGCTAAGTGGCTGAGGCTGGCCTCCACCTTGCGATCCTCCTGCCTCAGCCTCCCGAGCCGCTGGGGTGACAGGCGTGGGCCACCGTGCCCAGCTCTATGTCCATGGATCTGTTCTCAACCTCCACAGCCCCCTGCCCTGCCAGGCTCTGCTTAGCAGCACCTGGAGACACCGCCGTGTCCCTCACACTGTCACCCAGGGTGACATATTCCACTCCCGTGTCTCAGCTTGTTCATGAAGGACATGGGCACGGAGGAGACCCGCAGCCCAGGAGTTTGGGGGCTGTTTGGGGGGAAATGAGGCCCGTGGGCAGCTGGCGATTCTCCTTCCATCCTTCCTCTGCCTGGGGACTGCCCGGGTGGGTGTCACTGGGCTGCAGAGGTGGCCGGTCCCCAACACAGTCCCGCCCTGCCCCTCCCACCTCCCGGGATGAGGTAATGTCTCTGCAGGACAGAGCCACCGGCCAACTCTCTGCTGGCCATGCAGGACGGACACCCCAGGCTCAGCTTCTCTTCAACCAAGCGACCAGTGCAGCCAGATGTCTACCCTACACCCTGACCAAGTCCTCCAAGACGTAACAGGTCCTGGGGCCCAGTCCCATCTTGGGCCTGCGCTTCCCAAGGATCATCTCATTTAATCCTTCTGGTCTACAAAGGAGGGACACTGCAAGGCGCCCCTGAGACCCCAGGGACTCGGGAGGCCGAAGCAGGAGGACCACAAGTGGGGAGGCCAGCCTCAACCAAGCGCTGAGCAACTCGGCAAAACCCTGTCTCTAAGTAAGATGTGAAAGGCAAGCGCCTCCGTTTCTGCAGAGACGCCTGCTGACCCGGGTGTCACGGGAGGTGACCTTGACCTCTGACCCCAGGAACCCTGACCCAGGGCACAGGGAAGTCCTACTGCTGATCCCACTGCCAGTGCTCAACATCAAAGCTGCTCCAGCTTGGCCACCGAGCCCGGTGTCCCCGCCGCCACCTGCCTTCTCCCCGATCTGCTGGTCCTTGGAGAGGCTGGTGATCATCTTCACGTCCTCGTCCGTCAGTTCCCCGACGGCCACCTTGTTGTCCTTCTTGGCCACGTGGTTGGCCAGGATGACGGTGGCAAAGACGGGGAAGCCGTGGGCGGTGTTGAGGGAGCCGTCGTAGTTGTTGTGGTAGATGCCGGTCAGCTCCTGGGGACGGCGAGAGGCCAAGTGGTCAGGGGGCGTGACCTTGACCTCTGACCCCCCCAGAGGCATGACCTTGACCTCTGACCCCAGGAACCCTGACCCCAATTCCTCCCCTCTCCGCGGGCTTCCTGTGTTCTGCTTCAACACAGGTCCCAAAGGGGACAGGGCCAAGCAACCCTGACGCCGAGACTTCACAAACCACCATGAACCTTTTTTTCCTTATACGTTGATTATCTCGGTCGTTTTGTCACAGCAACGAAAGCTGACAGATACACAATTCCGTCGCGAGCAGGAAAACCTCTTTGCCCCAAGGACTCAGGACCTCACCTCAGGCCAAGCGGCTCGGCTACCAATGACCGCTGGCCGCCCCCCAACAGGTGTGGTGGCTCAGCGCACGCCTGGCCACTTACGATCTCGTCCCCCGGCTTGCAGCTGTCCACCAGATCGGCGAGGAGAATGGCGTCCTTGGAGCGGGGCAGCCGGCCCGCGGCCACTTTGCCCGGACTCTCCTGGATGCGGATGCGCTGGTAGTTCTGATAGATGGTCTGCGAGGGACACAGAGGGAGTCCTGGGGTTCGTTTTCCCCACGGACAAGACTTTCCTGTCCCTAAAGCGTCCCTTTTCCCGTCGCCTGAACCTGACTGAACCCACAGGACTGAGAACAGGCGGCCTGACTCTTTCTACCTCCAGAGGAGGAAACAGAGCCCCAAAGTCGCCAAGGAACGAGCCCACTGGGGCCCAGCATGGACCTGCAGGGCCACCGTCCCCCGAGAACGCCCTCTATCGGCTACTTGGGTTCACGTTCTGGTGCTGGGACCTAAGCTGTGTGATCTTGGGCAAGTGAATCCCTCTCTCTGTGCCTTCACAGCAGAATAGGGATGATCATATGGAAACCAAAAACTCAAGACAAGGATCAAATCAAGGAATGGATGCGGAGCCCCTGGAGCCATGCCAAGGACAGCAAGTGTCAATAAAGCCCCAAAGTGACAGGACCAGCCAGCCGTGCACAGAAAGTTCTCGACTTTCAGCCAAAGTAAACCTTTCCGCATTATAACTCGCTTTACCTCTGGTATTTTGTTACAGTAACAGCAAGCAACGAATTAAGAAAGTTGAAAGCATAAAACTCGGCTCAGCATTTTTGCTGGAGCCCGGATCCTCCAGGCCACTTGGCTGGGTGGCCTCCTCAGCCGGTCACTTCTCTGAACACCCCTTTCTCCCTCAGGAGAGTGGAGCCACCTGCTTCACGGGGCTTCAGAAGACGTACATTCTGGGTTCCCAGGACGTGGGGCCTGAACCTGCCCATGAGACTCAGGGGAAGGGCGGGAACCATGAGGACCCCAGGGAAGGCCGGCTTGGGCCTTCCCACAGCAGGTCTTTGGCTGTGGGTAGTCACAGGCAGAAGTTCTAGAACCTTCCGGGCACTTCCTGGCCAGGTGAGTCCAGCTTGGACAACTTTTAGGAATCACAGAACAGCGAGAAAGGAGTAGCCAAGCCCGACAGCGGGGAAGGCAGGGAAGGGGAGCTGGGCACCCTCCGTAGGAAACAGAAATCCTAGCGGCTCGGGAGGCTGAGGCAGGAGGATCGCAAGGTGGAGGCCAGCCTCAGCCACGTAGCGAGATTTCTGTCTCTAAATAAAACAAATGCGGTGTGGTCACCCTGAGGCTGCACCCTGGCCACGCGGGCAGGCCCGTGGCCTCTCACCTGTTCCATGTTGACCTCGAAGGGCCCGGCGGACTGGCACTCGGGACAGGAGCCCGGCTTCACCTCCTGGTTCTGGGACTGGCAGAAGGGACCGAGGACGAAGCTGCACTTGTTGCAATTGTACTTGACCATGCTGAGCTGGGGCAGGACGCCCGTGCAGCTGGTCACCACGCCGCTGGTGCGGATGAGCTGGTTTAGGTGCAGCTGCCTGGGGGAGAGGCCGAGGCACATTGGAGGCCGGGAGGGGAGGCTGAGGTGCGTTGGAGGCCGGGAAGGGAGGTCGAGGCATGTTGGAGGCTGGGAGGGGAGGCCGAGGCACGTCGGAGGCCAGGATGGGGAGGCCAGAGTCGCGGGGCTCCTGGCGTGCCACACCCACCCCACCTGAGCACCCCGCGGTCCCCTCCCCAAGTCACCTCAGGGAGCGCAGCTCCTCCACCAGGGGCAGGTGGGAGATGCGGACGTGGATGTGGCTGGCGATGCGGTCGTACTTGGGGTACATGGCCAGCACCACCTCCAGGGCCGCCTCGTCGAAGATCTGGAGCAACTCGGCGGGCGCCTCGGGCAGGAAGTAGGCCAGGACGTGCTCGCGGGCCGCCAGGTCCTCGTAGTTGACCACCAGGCTCTCCTTGTTCTCTGCAGGTGACAAGGGGGACACTGGGCTCATGGCCCAGGAAGCTCACCCGCCCCCCGTGTTGCCATCCAGCCAGAAAGGCCCCCCTGGAGGTGGCTGTGGGACCCGGATAAGAGGGGCGAGACCCACAGGGACCAAAGATATAAAGGAAACTAATAGCTCGGGAGGCTGAGGCAGGAGGATCGCAAAGTGGAGGCCAGCCTCAGCCGCTTAAGACCCTAAGCAGCTCAGCGAGACCCTTTCTCTCTCCATAAGATATAAAAAGGGCTGGGGACAGGGGCTCAGGGCTCAAGGGACCCTGGGTTCAATCCCGGGCGCCCAAAAGCAAACCCCAGCTCTGTAGCCGATCTGCCCCAGTACCTTTGCACATGTCGCTGATGCGCTCCTTGAACACGTTGTGCCCGTGGCCGTCCACGTGCGTGCGCAGGAAGTTCTTGAAGCGGTGGTGGATCTCCAGCCGCGGCCCGGCCATGCTCACCCACTCGCGCACCGAGTGGCCCTTGAGGTCCTCCAGGTTCTCGATGCTCTCGATCATGTCCTCATCCTCCTCGCCCTCCTCCGTGGCGCGCTCCACCTGGCGCCTCTTGCGTGCAGGGCGCTCCTCGTCCTCCTCGTCGCTGTCTGTGGAGGCCGGGGACAACTGTGTATGAGGCCGGTCCCCTGCGCGGCCCCGCCCCTCCGCTCCCACAGTGCACAACCTGACCTACCGTACAGCAGCCCCCTGCGCATGCGCCCCAGGCCCCGGCCGGCCTCCCGGTCTCGCTGCCGCATGACCCGCTCAGCGGCCTCCCTCTGGCTGGCGGTCAGCTCCTCCACGTCCTCGTCATCCAGGGCCAGTCCCTCGGTCTCGTAGGCGTCCAGCTCTGGGATGGCCCGGTAGTCCCTTGCGAGAGCCCCCGGATGGAACCAGTCAGTGACTACCCCAGCCCGCCACCTCCAGGTCGCAAAACCGCACGCCTGTCCTCCCAGCGGCTGGGAGGGCTGAGGCAGGAGGATGGCAAGGTGGAGGCCAGCCTCAGCCACTCGGCGAGGCCCTGAGACTCACCTCTCCATGCCGTCTCCAATAAGCTCCTC